GCAGCTTTCATGAATAAACTATAAACATTTCCATAATACATACTTGGCTTTTTATGGAGCTTTCTTATAGAGGTCATAAACCAAAGAGCCCAGTGTGAACTCTGAAGAGTTTAAATCTAGCATTAGAACTCCCCCAAAGAAAAAACAAACAAACAACTTTTCTTGGATCCGAATACTTTCCTCTCTGGATAGACATTTAGTGCTAGAATTGGGACTTATATCCTGGATTATTTGGTCATGCTTTTTCTTACTTTTGCTATCCAGAGAGGCCCCTTTATGCTGTGAGACTTGTTTTTCTTCCTAAAAGCATAATCGTAAGATTTTCCTAGGATTAATAACATGTAGTAATATATTAATGCGATTAATATAATAATAATGAAATATATAAATAATAATGAAATTTAAATGCAGTTTCTATTCAGATTAATCTTTTTGAATGAACAGAAGTCAGACAACTGACAGTTAAATCAAGGTGCTAATTTTAGTTGGCAAACAACGGACATCATGAAATATCACTATATCAATTTATAGCTAATTTTAAACAATTCTCTCTCCATTTCAAGATCTTAAGGAATGTTCTGTCTGGAAGGGTGTCTTGAATGAAACCTCTCCTCAACAACGACAGATGTGGAGGAAGAGAAAAAGTGTTACAAAATTTTGAAAATGCAATATAACAATATTAATAGTTTTCAGGAATGTGAACTTCCCCAAACTAAAATTTTCATCAAATTATCCCTATTTCAAATTTCAAACTGCTTCTTTGCTATTGCCACATGGAGGCACCACTTTAGCTGGTAAAGAGAGACTTCCACCATCTATTGTCAGCTTTGGTCTTCAATTGTGTGAAGTCTTCAAAAACATGTCTATCATAAAACACACCGGCCCTGTTTGGACTGCCAGAATAGTAAGTTTGTTTGTTTGTTTACTTGCCCATATACTTTTTCTAGTACAGTGTATTTTCATAGTCTCCTTATCCAGTACAGTTTTAGTTTTGAACTGAATTTTTTTTCTTGTTTTTCATGGAAAAGATTAAAAATCCCGGGAAAGGATAAAAAGGATGGCAACTATGTTTCTGAATTTCTTTCACAGAATTTGAGAGCTGGAAGAGACCTCCAAGGTTACCTCAGTTCCTTGACATTAACACACGGAAAAATTGAGTCCATTAAGTAAGTGGGTGAGGATAATGTAAGGAGGCAGAGCAGGATCTAGCTCTTTCTTCTGAGCCAACCTGTGTTTGGATATGAAGTGCTAATCACACTTGAAGGAACTGAGTACACAAGGACGTTCAAGTAGTGCTTGTATTCACAAACCAATGTGCAAAGAAAAAAAGAAGCAGTTCAAGTGAAAATAGTGAAAAGACTCTGGAATCAGCACATTCATGGATGATAGTTCATTTTGATTATTTACAGGACCAAGGTGGAGATTAATTATAATCAACTTATTTGGCCTCATGAATATTAAACATGCAGATTGTATTCACTTTTACAAGTCCCTCAATCAAATCAAATTAAATTATTTTAATGACATTTATTCATTAGAGAAAATAATCATAAAATTCTCCCACCAAATAAACGTTTGTAACAGAAGGATCAGGCACCTGGCTTATTTCGTCGTTTAGAGCACTGCATGGTTCCAGCTTTGGAGAAGTCAAGCCTTTCTCTAATCCAGTGAATTACAACACTGAAGGCAACTTTAAATGGAATATTAGTGAATAATTTCTTTAATGTTTTTGTTAGATACACGATCTGAAATTCTGTATCTCCCCCCCTTTTGGGGGGTTTAACATTAGGATGAACATTTTCTAGGAAAATAATATTAAAATTTTATTTGACCCAAGTGCTTGCTTCTCAGGGAAAGGGGGCTATATATTTTTGGAAACTGAAAAAAGAAAAACTCACTGGGAACCTTTTGTAATATTGATAGGAGAATAAGAAATATTTCCCTACTTGACCATGATACTGAGTTTATTGGGTAAAGTTGCATTTAAGGGGAATCAATAAGCTAATAAGTTGTGTCCACTTTATGTTAATAAACTTGTGTCTGCTCCATTTGGGTCTCAAAAACAATCCACTTACTAATTTAATCAGTCAGTAGAATCTTTACTAATTGGTAAATATTATTTAATTCTGAAATATTTGAGCAATGCCTTATAGTAATTTTCAGAAGCACATAAACATATTGATAAGATATAAAGAACTGAAAAAGCCTTTGTTGACTCTTGAATAATATAATTTTATACGAAAAAGGTCTTAAAGATCCCTTAGTGGGTAACTTCATTTAACCAGTGTGGTTCCCAGACCCTTGGAAGCGTTTGCAGACACCCCTGATAACCAAATGCATTGAATCTACGATTCTTAGATCAGTAATCCTGAATTACCCAATTAAAGCTCTGAAGTCATAGAAGACTGGTGATCTCCCAAGGATCTCAGGGCTCCTTTGGCTTGCCACAGTGTATTTCCTAATTCTGTGAAAACAATCTAATGAACCCTAATTACTCAACTCCTAAAATGCATACAGCCAGATACATATGGACAGCAAGAGCACAGACATTTAAAAACAGAGAAGAAAAAAGTAACTTGAACAGAATGTGGCATTTCCCTTGGTCTGTTGCTAACGGCCCACATACAACATGCTTAAAAAAACCCACCCTGGCACTTATTTTCATCATCACTTAAAAATGATTCAAATGGACATTTAGAATGTGTGGTATTGAGCATGTATCCCATCTGGGGATAAAGGGAAGAGCGCTTCCTCAAGCAGCGCTGTGCTTTCTGTGGTTAGCAGGCTAAAGTTGATGAGTATTTGGTCTCTTCTTATTGGCCATGCTTCTGAAGCCAAACACGATATTTTAATTGGACCTTTTCAGTACTCCAAAGCCAGTAGCAGTCAACATTTGTTTTTGTAAGGGGAATAATGATAGACATAACTTTTTAAATGCCATCAAGATTTAAAGAGGTGAAAGAAATGTAAACACAAATTGCTGCATTTTCTTTATATTTGCGTTTTATTTTTGACTCTGATGCCAATCACACTTTGTTAAAAATTAGCTGTCACCTTTGGGGTGGCTATTTTCTGAATGTTGTTCACTAGAGTTCTTCACACAAATTTTGAGGGTTGGGTATCCCGTGTACTCATGACTACTCTTTACTATAATTCAAACTCCAATAAACTCAGAGAAGAGTCCATAGCCAGCCATCCGGCTTAAACCTGTTTTGATGATTCCTGCTGTCACCAAACACTTTCTATTGGTAATAGATTTTTTTTTTTTAAATACAAAGTTTAAACAATTTTCATGATAACACCAGAAAGCTTCAAAAAAGTAATTGTGATTAGGACATAAAAAATTGACCAATCAGAATGTATTTGTTTATTGTTTTGCTAAGTCCAAAGTCATGGGGCTCATATTCCCAGTTTTTATCAGATTTTTTTTTTTGGGGGAGGGAGGGTTCCTGAGTGTAAACATTGTATTTTAATCATTTTTCCATTCTACAAATAGAAATTATCCTATAGGGAATATGTCTCTTTGGTTTTTACTTCCAGAGGATTTTAGAGCTTCATTGGTAGCCATTATTTAGTACTGCACACCTGGACACATCACACAGTATAATATATGTAGCCAGGCTTTGGAGAATTTATTTCAATTTACATACAATCCTCCAAATCCTCTGGTGAGCTTGATGTGAAATCTTACACTGCCGAGTCTCCCCAGCAGGATCTTCTTTGCTCTTGATGTTAATAGCCAAAGGCTCCAATGGTCCCTCTGGGGAGCCGCAGTAGGGCTAAGGAGTCAGGAAGAGGGGTGACTGCGGGGCTTGTTGCGCTGAAGATTTACAATGTACTTCTTGCAGGCGGCTCAGCAACCCCCTCTGTGGCAGTGGGTGTCTGGTGTGACAGAGCGGAGAAAAGCTCTCTAATCTCCCAGTGCCTGCCTCTGCCGCTCAACCGCTCCCCTCCCTCTCGCCTTCCCTGCCTCCTCGCGCTCTCTCCTTCGCCTTTCTCTGGGAGTTTCAGTCCCTGAATGCAGCTCGAGTAGCCCTGGTAATCTAGACCCGGAGCCTGTGTACACACGCACACACGCGCACACACATGCACACGCGCTCGCACACACGCACTTCGGCACTTCCCCCGGGGATATGGAGCAAACCTTCATCTACCTGAAGTGGATGGCCTGGCCGGACACTTCTTCCTCACTTGTCATCTCCGGAGAGCAGAGCGACATCGGAACCAGGGAGGTTTGCTGTCCGGTCTGGTTTGCCTCCGCGGCTGCTTAAAGTGTCCAGGGTGGAGGAGAAGGCTTCTCCAGGGCAGATCCCCGGCAGAGCTACGCGGCCCTGGGACTTCCTCCGGCTGGTTCACTCCAGTCTTTCCCTCCATCACTCTCGGCCATCCTCTCCTCTCCTCTTGGGCTGCAGGGTGTATGGCTCGGGTGCCTCTCTTGCTGCTGCAGCCTCCACTGCCACTGCGAGCACATCCCACCCAGAGGACTGAACGCCGCCGCTGGAGTGGGGGGAGAAAGCGGAAGCCCTAACTTCCCTCCCTACACCCTCGCTCTCCCCAGCGCTCCCCGTTCTCCAGCCGAGGGCCGGTTGGAGAGCTCCCGCGGAAAACTGGGCGAGAGCGCGGCGCAGGGGAGGAGTGCTGGGAACCGCAGGCGCACAGGGGCGGGGGCAGCATGTGCCCAGGCGCCGGGTGATCGCCCGAGAAGTAGCGCGCGCTGGGTGAGAAAGACGCTTTCCAAGTTGGGCGCGTCTCAGAGCTCGTCGCCCCGCGCCTCGGCCGCTGGTGTCCGAAGAGAGGCGGGGCTGATGGGGGACGCTGAGGCTGCCGTCGCCTGCGGCCAGAGCCCGTCTTAAAAGAACCCCGGCCAGCATCCCCAGGGTCCCAGCCGGCGTCGCGCCCGCGGTCGGGGTGCGCTCTCTGATGACTGCACTGGCGGTGGCCCGGGTGGCCCGCCCGCGGGGGGTGCTGGAGGGGGCGGGGGAAGAGGAGGAGGCGGTGTGATGGCCCTGGACGGCGAGCGGGGGGAGCAAGAGGAGGAGAAGAAAAAGAAGAAGAAGAAAAAGAAGAGGAAGAAGAAGAAGGAGGAGGAGGGGGCCAAGAAGAGCAGCTCACCCTTCGCAGCCACCATGGGAGAAGACGACAGCGCGCTCCGGGCAGGCAACAGAGGGCTCTCGGACCCGTGGGCTGACTCGGTGGGAGTGCGACCCCGCACCACCGAGCGCCACATCGCGGTGCACAAGCGGCTCGTGCTGGCTTTTGCGGTGTCCATAGTGGCACTACTCGCGGTCACTATGCTTGCGGTGCTCCTCAGCCTGCGCTTCGAGGAGTGTGGGGCAAGCGCCGCGCCAGGTGCCGACGGTGGCCCCGCGGGCTTCCCCGAGCGCGGTGGTAACGCTAGCCTCCCGGGATCAGCCCGGCGCAACCACCAAGCGGGCGGGGACTCCTCGCAGCCGGAGACCGGCGGGGTGGGCATCCCGGGAACCCCTTCTGCCCAGCCGCCGTCGGAGGAGGAGCGGGAGCAGTGGCAGCCTTGGACACAGTTGCGCCTATCGGGCCATCTCAAGCCGCTGCACTACAATTTGATGCTCACCGCCTTCATGGAGAACTTCACCTTCTCCGGGGAGGTCAACGTGGAGATCGCGTGCCGCAACGCCACCCGCTACGTCGTGTTGCACGCTTCCCGAGTGGCGGTGGAGAAGGTGCAAATAGCCGAGGACCGGGCTGGCGGGGCTGTCCCGGTGGCGGGCTTTTTTCTCTACCCTCAAACCCAGGTCTTGGTGGTGGTGCTGAATAGGACCCTGGACGCGCAGAGGAATTACAACCTAAAGATTATCTACAACGCCTTGATAGAGAACGAGCTTCTGGGCTTCTTCCGCAGCTCCTACGTGCTCCACGGGGAGAGAAGGTACGGAGGGAGGCGGTGCCCCGCGCTGCCCCACCCAGCCAGGCGGCTCAAACCGCTGGGCGGCCGGCGACTTCAGGCACCCGGCTGGCTTCCCAAACCCAGGAAACCAGGGGTGGGGGAAGGAAGAGAAGGCGAGGTAGGACTGTCACCCAGAACCTTGGGAATCTCCTGATACCTGGTCTCTCACTGCTGCCCACCCCATAAACTTGCTTGTATCTAAAAATTAATGCCCCCTCTAGCCGGGACCTTCCCTCTTCAGGTCAAAGTTATTTAGCCAGCTGGGCGTGCGTCTTTTTCTAAAGGGTAGTTTGTAACTGAGCGATGCCAGAGTGACATCAAAACCTTGCCAAGTTACTGTCAGAGAAAATACTAAGCTCCAAAGACTCAGGGATAGCACAATCCCCTCTTAACACGCCCACCTCCCCTGACTGTTAATCCCAGGGCAGGCAGAGAGAAGAGATAGGCTTTGGCTATATAAAGTTTTCCAAAATGGCATTAAAGAATCAGAGCGGCAAGAGCCATTCCCAGGGACCTACTGAGGGGGCGGGGGTAGGGGAGAAGTTGCAGTGGCCAAAATCAGAGAGTAGTGACCTCGCAGCACTGAGAACTCTCCAGTTATGCTGGGCAACTCCTGTCTTTTTGAGTCGCTGCCTCTGGAAACAACTACAATGAAGGAAGGGAACATTAGTGGGTCAGTCTCAAATGCCTTGTTAGTGAGTGCCTTTGCTGTAGTTTAGATTTGGGCAGTATTCTATTTTTTTTTTTAAATTTTTGAAAGGCTGAGGTGCTTTTCTTCACTTGCTTAGAGCTCTCTGATTTCCAAGTCAACAGAACTGGGTTTCAATCTTCACAGTCTAGCTGTGGTGAAGAGTTGAGGAAAGTATTTAACTCACCAATTGCCAATGACTGGGTACCTCTAGAGCTTATTACCCATGGTTTGTGAACTCAATCCTGCTAGGACTCTATGGGATAGATGCAATTAGAACACTACTTATGTTACAGGTGGGAAATGGAGGCACAGAAAAGTCCCAAAACTCACTCAGATTACAGAGCTCCTAACAAAGCAGGGATTTAGAGCCAGATGGTTTGGATTCAGAGTCCTTATCATTAATTCTTATTTGGGAATAACAACAACAACAACCCTCCTTATGTGGGACTGGTGCAGATATCAATGAGCCAATGCTTTGAAAAGTGCTTAGCCCTGTGCCTGGGATATAGCGTGAATGATGTGCTATTGCTCCTGTTGAATAAGTGATTCTTGCTTTTTTTTCCTCTAAACCACTGCATTTAAAATAACTTGCATTAATTGACTGTAGGGCAGATGAGCAACTCAAGTGAACTTAAAATGAAATCATCAGCTTCAGAGGCAGGGGAAGTTTGGCATTAGTAATTAATGGGGCAGAGCTTCTCCAGAGGATCTCAGGTGAGTCTCACAACTGCAGGAAACTAGAGCTCAGAGCAGCCCAGGGCACCCTGAGGTCATCAGGCTTATTGTTAGAGAGCTAGGACTTGAATTTTGGTTTTCTGAGTCTTGGACCAGGCTCATAGTATTTGGAAACTCAGAAGTTATTGTGTAGAAGCTGGGAAAATTTCAGTGTGTAATGGAAGTACACAAAAGTTTTGTTATTTATATGGTGTTATAAAGTAACCTCATATAATGAATAAAATACCCAGTGCTTTAGTAGTTCACCTAAAAGTGTAAGCACAAATTATTAAGTATAAATTATTCACTATCTAACTTCTAAGATCAGATATGGATAATTTAGATCCCCTTCCACCACTTCCTTCAGCATGTTCTAAAGAGTACAGATTAAAAGTATTTCTAAACTCATGATTATATCAAATATGTGGGAAAGGGATAGAAGGCAAATTTGCCTGTTATGTTTAGAAACAAGCCTGTCATGTCAAGATGTCAATAGTGAGACATTGCATTTAATTACTGAAATATCTTGCTGTGGTGAAATAAATACTCCCCCAAATCCTTATTTTTTTGAGCCATGCCATGCCAAAATATATTTGGCAGAACTGAGCTTGATTTGGTCAGTGCTTTCAAATTAAGAGGACTCTTGAAAATACCAGATGTTTCAGCTTGACCCGTAACTGATTTCTTGAACCCCTAGTGCATGTTTGTATACAAACTCTCTTTTTGAGTTTTCCCCAAAGATGAAAATAACTTGGTTGTAAGTTTAGCATAATGCATGTGTGGCTAAACTCTGCATCCCAGTAAAAATGCAGGATAGGATTCAATGTTTGGGAGATCCCAGGATGATTTTATTTCTAACCAGCATCTTAGAGATAAGGTTTTGCACCACTTTCCCCCTCCACTTCAATACCAGAATGAATCTGATAATTTCTTGGCTGTTTCTACTAGAGTTGATAAAGCAAGAGAAATCTAATAAACCATTTCACAATTATGTCAACATTCCATATATTAAACTTTTGTTATTGTTGCTATGGATACTTGGAGCAGTTTTAAGCAGAGGAATATCAGGAACTCAGCCAGAGCTGGACTGTTATTGGTGGTGATTTTGACCTCAAAATGCAATGTAAATTGGCATTTTAAAACCAACTTTCTAGAAACCAACTTTCTAAAAGGACACAGATGCAAACTGTGAATTTTCATTTGATTAATGACTGAATATCTTGATCTTTAGACATTTTTGCCAATTTAATTATAGGATAATTTCTGTAACGAAAACAAATATTTAATTTGCCAAAGGGAGCGTTGAGCAACTTGAAAGACTTTAAAGTGCAATATTACAACTCAGTCCACTTCACTTTGCCTCTGTGGAGATAATAACTCATTGATATCCTATCAGTTTTATTGTTCATGTTACTTCTCAAAGATTGGGGAGAATTTTGGTGAGGGAGGAAGGTTAGACCTCTTGTGTGCTATGTACCTTTGACCTGTGGAAGGTTTTATCCCCTACCAGATGTTAGAGGCACCTGATTCTTCAAAGGTTAGAAGACAAGCTTTCCACTGAACCCCAAGATCCCCCAACTTCAGGCAAATCCTCCACTCATTCAGCTAAGATGTAAAATTTGTCACTTGTTGAATATTGAAAATGAATAAATTCTCTTAAGATTGAAATATTTACACACAAGCAATAAATTGTCTTCATTAGGCAGAACACATATCCAGTTTTTTCTCAAGTAGGTATGCTCAGGCAGATAGAAGGGGCTGTATATTTATGCCATAGCCTCTTATAGGAGAATAAGCTTGCTTAGAATTAGGCAGTATGTTCATTTACCTGAAGTAATTGTCGCTTGTGGGTAACCAGATGGTGAGCACACCCATGTTCAAAGTAGGGTACCTTAATTTAGATCCAGATGGTCGGATTGAAAGAGAAAATTTACCCAAAGTAAATGAACATTTTATTCACTTTCAAACGGGAGACTGTTTTTCTTTGACAAACTTTGATTGGGTCTCTAACATGCCAAAATGAGAGAAGTCAGAATAAAAATAGATGTTCTTTTTCTATAAACAAGTGTTTGGAGAGAAACCATGATCTCTTGAGTAAAATGGAAGAATAATAATTGTGGTTCTCAAAGAGACTTAGGACCACCGTTTTGCCAAAATTCTTGTGGCAAAGCACTCTGGGTAGATACTTGGCTCTTTTGTGATATTAGTGTGGATGGTTTGATGCTTTGTGTTTTTTCTGGAATGAATTAATATTATGATATATAATAAAAGCAAGAGAATCACCACATGATTTTGATGTTAAGAGCAGCCTCATTTTTCCCATTCACTTTGGCAAGCAGATAGTTTTACAAGAGCAAGTGGGAGGGTGACGCTCTTTGCCCTTCTGTAGAGGGCTGTGAACTGAAAAATCTTGAGAACCATTTGTTTCTGCGAAAAAGGTTTTATGTGATTCCTTGATGGATTTAGGTCATTGTTTTCCTGTCAGGCACACACAACCGTGTGGCTAAACTGAGTCCAGAGCTGGATTTTGGTAGCAATTCAAAAGGCCACCAAGAAACCAAATCTCATATATATATATATACATATATGTATGTATGTATATGAATGTATATGTGTGTGTGTGTGTGTGTGTGTGTGTTACACACACACACATATTTCATAAAAGCTTTGATCCTTTGAATCATGACTCACTCAGGGAGGAGAATTCATACAATTGGTACAACTGGTATTTTTTTTACTATGTTTTTGTGTATTATCATCTGATTTGATCACCCTGGATAGTAATACAACATAAAGCCTCTCTGAAAGAGTTAAATGAGTTTGCTGTGCTTTTATTTCTTCAGTGCAACCAGATCCTATTTGCTCTGGATCTCTTTCAAAAAAAGATGGGCATGATGCTGGCTTTCCCAGCATTTGTTTGGTTTGTGGTTCACACAACGTATTTGTTTAAACTCATTCTTGCCACTCTATAAGTGGGCAGACCTGAGACAGTGGAGCAGGGAGGTGGTCAATCTGAGTGTAAGAATAAGGACTTATCTCTTCAAGAATGACTTCCAAGAGTGATAAAAAAAAAAAAAAAAAACAGCAAGAAAGAAACAATTTACCTTTAAAATACACTTTATAGTCCGTAAGGAAGGGCATCTCCTTTACTCCCATGTTCATACTCCACCCTGAAGCAATGATAATAATCACCATTACCACCATTGTCATCGTCATCATCATATGACACTATTATCATTGTTCTCTTAATTCTTTGCTTGCTCTTTACATCCTTCCAAATCTGTGATAGTGTCAGGCTTCCCCAGAGATTTTCAAAGTCCTATGCCATCCTACCTAGAGAGGAGAGGCTGTCTCTCAAAGTTAGAATTTTGTTAGGTGGAATTTGGGAAAATTCAAATATGAAAAATACTCCCGCTCTTCCACTTTCCTGGACAATATGAGATGATTCTCAACAGGCGCAGCTGAATGGTGGCAGTGGGGCTATGGGGGTGAATAAGAGTGTGTGTTTCTTGGAGCTGAGTAGGTTGAAGGGCCTCCAGTCGTCTGAATGCCCAGGTGGGCCTGACCTTTAAGGATC